CTACCTGTAGACGAAATGCTATCAAAAAAGAGATTTCAATAAATCAATACAATGATAAGGTGCATTTTAAAAAATCGAATTGGAATGCCACTGAGTCCTGGTGCTTTTCCATTATGTATTTCTTGAATAGCATTAACTATTTCTTGGTAGGATATTTCTTTATCCAAATAGTCATTGTCCACAGATGAATCAATAAGTCTATCACTGATTGAATCAACAAAATGTTTGACAAAAATATAGAAGTGTTCTTCATCGGCTGAACAATAGGAAGACTGAAAAACATTCTTGAAATGATTCATCCAGTCAAATGGTGTAATATTATTGTGTGTCCTAATACAATACTATCTATCTATGGAATAATGGTCAGATGTGTATGCCAGTTTAGTGTCGTCCTTACTGTTGAAGGCGTGGTGTCCTAATACAATACAATTTATCTATGGTATAATGGTCAGATGTGAATGCCAGTTTAGTGTCGTCCCTACTATCGTACATGTGTCCTAACACAATATATCTGTATCGTCCTTACTGTTATAGGCGTGTCCTAACACAATATAATCTATCCGTGTCGTCCTTACTGTTATAGGCGTGTCCAAACACAATACAATCTATCTATGGTATAATGGTCAGACGTGTATGCCAGTTTAGTGTCGTCTTTACTGTTATAGGCGTGTCCTAATACAATACAATCTATCTGTGGTATAATGGTCAGATGTGTATGCCAGTTTAGTGTCGTCCTTACTGTTATAGGCGTGTCCTAATACAATACAATCTATCTGTGTCGTCCTTACTGTTATAGACGTGTCCTGACACAATACAATCTATCAATGGAATAATGGTCAGATGTTTATGCAATTTTAGTTTCCTCATTACTGAGTCAGTAATATTGGATACAACTTTATGGGTGATAACGTTTTGTTTATTGCACAGAGGTATTTGTTGTTTTCACACCTGGCGGCCTCATCCAATCCTGGCCCACCTAGCCTCATCCATTCATGTACAACTTGCTATTCTGTAACATGTGGTTGTTAATGTTAATCTGATGGTTGTCACAACATACTGTACATATATGCTTTCCAACATTTGGCTGTAGTCACGTTCAGCTTGAACACGGTGTAAGAACGTGAACCTATACCCAAACTTCGCTCTATGCAGTACACAGATGTGTTATCCATAAGGTTGAAAGCTATATCTTCTATCTTTGGATAGATTTAAAACGCAGTGCTACAGATAACTTTTTGGGTCATTGAGTTATGTACTCGCTTGTGTTGATCTCAATTGGGTATCCTAATTTTCCTTTCAGTAACAAAATAAATTGTACTCACGTCACACAAACTCAAATGGGTATTTTGCCATTTTCCATTTATTTTTAAAATATAATAAAGTTTACATGTATATTTTATCTGTGTTATGAGAAAATGCAAGTTGTAAAGTACTTTTCCTGAAACAGAACCTCTCAGTATACCTCAGTTATTTTATCTATCCACCGGTACGCAAGCTAAGATTTGACAGTTTTGTGTGTACTCATGTAAAATCACATTTACTGAGTATTTGCAAAAAATTCAAGCGTACTTGTACGCAACAGACTTTATAGGAATTGAGTTTTCACATAAATATTTGCGTAATTTACGCAGATACGCAGCTTATCTGTACCTCTGAAAATGTCATAGTTCGTTTTAAATCTTTACGGTGAAACGGATGTAACAGTAAGTGGGTGGGTGGGTGAGTGGGTGGGTGAGTGAGTGAGTGAGTGAGTGAGTGAGTAGGTGGGTGGGTGAGTGAGAGAGTGGGTGAGTGAATGTTGTTCATCATTGCATAGTTTTTTGTACAAAATACGCTATAGGAACGAACCGCCAGTATCAAAACATTTTTCCCCACAAAATTGTTGGAGCGGTGGGGTAGCCTAGTGGTTAAAGCGTCCACTCGTCACGCTGACCCGGTTCGAATCCCCAAATTGGTACAATTTGTGAAACCAATTGCTGGTATTCCCCGCTTTGATATTGCTGGAATATTGCTCAAAGTGGCGTAAAACCATTCACTTGCTCATTCATAAAATTGTTACCATACCAGGTAAGAGCGGTGGTTGAAAACAAGTGAGTGAGTGAGTTGAGGCAATCCAGTGATCAACAGCATGAGCATCGATCTGTGTCAACCACGCCATCGAGCCTGACCACCCGATCCCGTTAGTCGCCTCTTACGACAAGCATGGGTTACCGAAGGTTCATTCTAACCCGGGCCTTCACATTTTATCTGTACAATGATCATTTGTTTATGAATCAAATATCAGATGGTTATAGTGGTCAGGTGTTTGATGAGGGTGTCGGTGTCTTGTCCCATCTGAAGCTTAGGTTAAATTGGTGCTCGTGGGAAGGATGCCTCCTTTTCGTTTAAATGTTAACATTAATGTGTCAACCTGTCATCCCAAAAGCGAAGATCGATGCTCATGATGTTGATCACTGGATTGTCTGGTCCAGACTTAAACTTCCGGTACATCGAGGATCTAATATTGTTCAATAATCATCAAATAGCCAATTGGCTTCAATTGATTTACCCCCCTGAACTTGAAATTAAGGAGACAAGTGAGACCGCCTCAACTGTCTCATATTTAGATCTATTCATAGATATTCAAAGAGACAAAAAACTCTCCACAAGGCTGTATGACAAAAAGGATGATTTCAACTGTCCAATAGTCAACTTCCCTTTAATGTGTGTTTGTTTGGAAATTATGTACTCAGTATTCTCCACGTACGAAAATATTCCAAAATGTTTTTATGACCCTAACGTTTTTCGCTCAAGATACTGAAATATTTTAAGAGACTTACATTGTCGATCAAACTCAATATATATTTTAGAAATATATGTGTGATAATCGATCATAAAATATATCCCCCCGTGTGTGTGGGGGTGGGGTGGGGGTTGAGGGGCGCAGTGGGGATATAGCCTAATGGATTCAATCGACCGCTCGTCATGTTGAAGTTCCGAGTTCGATTCCCAAATGGTTACAATAAGTGAATTATTCCTAGTCACCCCTAATAATGTCGATCATAAATAGGTGTAAATAGTGAGTAGTGTGTGAGTGTGTTTAAATTTACACCGTTTGTAGCAATATTCCAACAATATCACTGCGGGGAACCAGAAATGGGCTTCACAATAGTAGTGAGTATATATTGCTTTCGGTCGCATGAGCAATTTTGCATCTATTCGCGGGTACGGAAACGAATGTGACCGGAACATTAAGTTAGAAATTGATGTATGTGAACATGATTTACAATCAATATGAAGTGAGTGAGTGAGTTTAGTTTTACGTGGCACTCAGCAATATTCCAGCAATATGGCGGCAGAATCAATATGAAGACTGCAAATTTGAACTAGCAGTCAATAGCTTGTGAAGTTTCTGCGTTGAAGTCGGTCAAAGAAAATAACATGTGAACCAATATCAAATAACGATTATACCTGGTGTTTAAAATAAGAAAGGTAAGCGTATCCTGCTCCACCCACGGTATCCACTACAAACACACGGGAAGGCAAGTTAATTTCCCTCCTAAAAATATGCATAAGGTTAAGGTATAACTAAAGCTATGTACGACGTTACCGTCGGTGAGAATGACGTTGTTTGACGTTTGGTAGTGAACGCTTGGAACATCCATCAACTTGGAAATAATGTTTCTTTCCAAAAAATATAGAAGATAACACAAACGCACATTTTTATTGAAAATATACATCCTTAAAATGGTATCACACTTTGTTCTGTCACATACAAGAGTGTCTGGTTCATTGGACATTTATGGACCTGACAACAGCGCCCCGCCCCAGAGAAGGTGTGCGCGTATGTAGCAATGCTTCAGGAAGTTCTGGTAATTCCTTATTGTGATCTGGGAACAAACAAATCTGGTAATAATCAGTACCAAATACACTCTAATCTACGAATTCAACTGTGTTACAGGAAGCGCTGGACTAGATCTCTTCAAACATTTGCTGTTTTCTTCAATAATATGTGATATGTTATGCATTATGAGAACAGGTATTCATGTCCTTAAGAATGACCCGTGAAGATCAGGGTTAGAATTGGTCTTCAGTAACTAGGTTGCTGACTTGGTTGACACATGTCATCGTATCCCAATTACATAGATCGATGCTCATGCTGTTGATGACTGGATTATCTGGTCCAGACTGAATTATTTACTGACCGCCATATAGCTGGAATATTGCTGAATGTATGTTCCAACAACAAGCCAGCCGATCCTAAAAATATTTTGCTCTAGGAGACTATCCCGGTGATGAGCAGTCCAAGAACTCGGCAACAATTCTGTAGTATTGTGAACAATCAAAGAGGCCAAAATAATTCTAGGATCATTTCTATCTTTCATAAGAGGCCAGTAGCGTTTCTTCTGTTATGTTGGCTTGTCATCTCCAGGAACACTTCTCATCTAAGGATCTTGTAATGACTACATCTAAAAACAGGTGACTTATCCATGTGAGGCCATGCCAGGCGTCTACAACTTTCAAAGTGATCAGGACATCGATCTAATTTTTCTAATTGTTTGATCGGCATTCTTAGAAGTTGGTGAGTTAAAAATGAAACATACAACTTTCTGGATGAATTCTTACATCCTCCACATTTAGCTTTATAACGGTGTAAGAATCTACATCGAAACCTCGCATAATGCAATAAACAAGAAGTTGTCATTCATAAAGTTGTAAGTTTCATTTTAATCAAACTCATCGGCAACACATGACAGAAAAGCTCAGCAATGGACAGTTCACTCTTTCATTTATAATTACAATAATTTAGAATTTTTTAGATTAAATGTTAATGACAACCTCAACCTGCCTGAACCATGATGAATTACATTTTAAACGTTCAATTGCTATTGGCAAAAATTGATTTCCGATTTTCAGGTTAGAATTAATACAACTGTTCAAATCTCACAAGTGTAGGATACTATGAGAAACTCTTGAAATTCAAGCTGGTGACTAGTGAGAATCCTAGCTGCATCTTTTAATCAAACTATGCCAGCGTGTCTTGCGAGGGCATAAAAATTCCTTTGGTGTCCTGTAGTAGTCTCTCTGGGGTGTCATAAGCCTCGACAATCCCTTTGTTTAGCACCAATATTCTGCAAAATAATACCAAAATTGTAATCTTTGACTAATCATGGGACTGAAACATATTGGTCGTCAAAACATTTAGTTGACATCAAATGAGGCAGGTCCAATTATTTCTCTGACAAAAGTATGAATATATTTTCAAAAGCTCACAGACACATTTTTCCAAATCCTTTCATGTCAATGATTTTTGTAACACAAAACCAACCACAAACGTAATGACTGACTGAACATTTCATGAGAATTGTCGGACATAACCTGTCAGTTGGAAACAAGGTTAATATACATTGTAAGGGTGCGTTGCAAACAGCCATTCTCTTGAAAGCGATTCACCTAACAAGGGAGCGTTAACTTTCAGCCGCTTGCAATCGCACCAATCGCTGACTGATGTCGCTTCGTTTTCAAACCGAAATGGAGGCTGAGGGGAAGCTGAATTCGACCGCTGAACAACAGATGTTTGACGGGATAAGATGGGAAATGGTTAAAAGCAGCTTGTATCCCAGCGTCCATAGTTCGTTCAACATCTCCAATGTATTCATCATCACTCGACAGCTCGTCATGGAGACGTTCTTCATTAGGGCCAGGCAATCAAAAGGTAATCCCTCCGCTATTTTGGAAGGGTGGGCAAACGCTTCGAGCTGTTGCAAGAATGGGGTTAACGATTAATTTGCTTACCCTAAGCTATTCACCGCTTGCAACGCACCAGAAGTTTGAGTAACTAAATCATGTACACAATCAATAGTTGGTCTTTCCAGAGGATATACTTACTATAATACCTTATAGACCACATACTGCGACCCAGTGCCATTCGACGACAAGTTAAAATGAGGTGAGGTGAGGTGAAATTGGGTTTAAAGTCGTGCTTGAGAATATTTCGCTCATATGACGACGTGCATATGTGTATGTGCGGCTGCTTGTACTAACCCAGACTTAAGCTGGTTTTATAGTGCTAGCCCACTGAGATACCATGCCGCAGTGAAGCATAAATACCCCACACAGACACATTATACCCTGAAGCGACCAGTCCTTGTTGTACCCATTAATTCCGAGCGCCAGGCAGGGACTAACAAGTACCATATTGTAACGACTTTTGGTAACGTCTTCCGCTCTCCGGTCAGACGCTCTAACCACTACACCACGGAAGCGGCCGACAAGTTAAAATATGGCATTCATGGGAGTTATTTGATTGTGGTACTTCACAAGACACATGATGTTTTTTTCAAACCTGTATCAGATTCAGTGGTGGGTGATTTGTTATGACTGACTGACTGAGTTTAGTTTTACGCCGCTTTTAGCAATATTCCAGCAATATCACGGCGGGGGACACCAGAAATGGGCTTAACACATTGTGCCCATGTGGGGAATCGAACCCGGGCCTTCGGCGTGACGAGCCAACGCTTTAACCACTAGGCTACCCCACCGCCCCCGATTTGTTATGAATTTTGTTTAGAAAGTGGTCAAATGTAACAAATGATATATTTGGGATTACACGTGCTTAGTAAATTACAGATTCTAGTACTGTTATTGGGTTGGGTCCATCCGGGATCCGAACTCATACCCTCAGGGACAGGCAATCGCCAGCACACAAAGTCAGCCGCCTAACCCACTCAGCTGTAGGGTGTAGGTTCGAACCCCAAAGATGTCCAAGAATCTGTACTCCGAACTCATACCCTCAGAGTCAGGCACCTTATCGCCAGCAAACAAAGTCAGCCGCCTAGTCCGCTCAGCTATAGATGTGGGTTCGAATTCACCTTTATAAAAGGACTGAACCTAATAAAAGTGCTAGAATCTGAACTTTACTGAGAAAGTGTAATCAATAGTTTAACACGTGTTACAGGTAATGTGTTGCAATAATGCTGACCGGTCGTAGTCCATGACGGTGTTGAGTCTGTGGGCGATGGTCAGCACCGTGCAGTCCTTGAACTCTGACCTGATGGTCTGCTGGATTAAGTCATCTGTTTCCATGTCAACGGCTGCTGTAGCCTCGTCCAACACCAAAATTTTGGATTTTCGTAGAAGAGGCCTTGCAAGGCAGAGAAGCTGTCTCTGCCCAATACTGGAACGGGAGACACAAACTCAAACACTTGCCATCTTGCCCACAAACTGAGTACGTTAAGTCGAATGGCAGGCAATGGTAGGCAAAACAAGCTTCCATTTTCAGGCAACTTTTGTGATGGGCGGGGACTACCAGCATTGTAGGATATGCTTACCCTTTTCTCGAACTCCTGATGTCATTACTGATATTCAGTGATTCATTTATATAATTTTCCCAGCTATTTTCCCTTTACGCCAAACGAGATGTTTCTGAGGATAGTCAATATAATAATGATAATAATTATACAGTTTATTTGTAGAGCGCTAGACTCCATGCATGCTCAAAGCGTTACAAATTTGTTTAGCAGGAATATGCTTTCTTGAAGAGAAACGTTTTGAGGTTGGGCTTGAAAGAATCTAAGCAGGCGGCAGTCCTGAGTTGAACAGGAAGATAAGTCCACAGTCGTGGGCCAACTGTACTGAAGGCATTGTAGCCACAGGTTTTAAATGTATACCAGATATTGTTTCGCACTGACGTTATATACCATATATACTTGAGTATGTGCAGTTTGTCATGAACTTGTTTGAGACTTGTTAGCGGCGGTGTTAGATATGTTCGTTCTTTTTATGTCGGATTCAAAGTCTGTGTTGCTGCATATGTTGCCGTGTTTGTTTTACGCCGCACTCAGCAGTATTCCAGCTCTATGGCGGTGGTCTGTAAATAATCGATTCTGGACCAGACAATCCAGTGATCAACATCATGAGCATCGTTCTACGCAATTGGGATACGATTACATGTGTCAACCAAGTCAGCGAGCCTGACCACCCAATCCCGTTAGTCACCTCTTACGTCAAGCATGGGTTGGTGAAGACCAATTCTAACCAGGATCTTCACCGGTCTCAAAATGTTGCAATTGTGCAAATGATTGAGAGGCTTCATCCTTACCATTTATGTCGTCTTTTATGACAACGAAGGCTGGTGGGCACTTATTCTGTGAGAATCCCCTGAGAATCAATCGAGAATCCCCCTCGGGTACGCACTGACTGTCTCGTTCATTATTGTATAGTTCGTACCTGAAGTTCTTGCCCCCCTCCTGGCATTTGTAGAGAAGCTGACCAGGTAGAGAACTGACCAGTGTGTGAAGGTGGGCGTGTCTTAAGGCAGTCCAGATCTCCTGGTCATCGTAAGCCTCGACTGGGTCAAGGTTCACGCGTAGTGTTTCCGAAAATAGCGTCGGATCCTGAAACAAAACGGAACAGTGATGTAAACATCTATCTTTTGGAGGGTCGATGTGAAACCAATAACTAAACTGCTGTTGATCACCGGATTGTCTGGTCCACACTCGAGTATTACACATGTTGCTGGAATATTGCTGACTGCGGCGTTAAACAACAAACTAAACTTTCGGGACGAGCTAAAGGTACATGCGCATGTCTGATGACCGTTAAAAATGAAACTAACAGGAAATGGTTAATCGGTTATTTTTTTTAACCGAGGAATATAGCTGTGCCTTCAGACCATAACAAAAAATATTATATCAACTGTTTTCACTATATATATGGTGACATTTAGATAACGTTTCCAGTGTTTTGATGCAATCCAGTGTTGAAATGTATAATATGTTTTGTTGAAGAGTTTATGTGTCAGGGAGGCAACTAAACTATTAGAAACAGTATTTAATAAGGTACATCCATGTGCTAATCATTCTACTGGTCACCTGTGGAATTATGGTCAACCTTGACCTGACCTCGGAGAGCCGGACATCGGCGATGTTTATGCCGTCAATGATGATGGCCCCCTCTACGGGATCGATGAGACGGAAAAGGGAGAGCATCATCGAAGATTTGCCTGCCCCTGTCCTACCCACAACTCCCACCTGTAAAATAATCCGCAAAATATAATGTCTCGGTCGGCATTGGAACCAATCTTCTTGGCACGATCAGCTAATGTCGGGTTCTTTGTGAGCCAAAAGAAAACATGGTACTCTAAACGAATGAAGATCTAGACACCATAATTGTTACACTGCATGCTCATCACGCATTGCCATTATAGGTAGACTGTGAAAAGCGTATTATTACGGTTCCATCACCATTTCATTATGACCCTAACGACGAACGCCTCTGTGATCTAGTGGACAGTGTGGGAGATCGACGTTTCTTGCAAAAAGACGTCAAGTGTTGGTGCGCGCCAGTATAGTGGATCTAAATGGGGTGTTCGTGTTAAAACTGCGATATTGTATCGCAATAGGCTAGGGTTATAAATTATTGGTACGGAATACACACAAACACATACATGCTTGTGCGTCTCTGTAGAAGTCCTCATTTCACCCCACCTCGTCTTTCACATGGGGCGGTTGGGTAGCCGTGTGGTTAAAGCGTTGGAGTCCGGGTTCGATTCCGCATATGGGTACAATGTGTAAAAGTCATTTCTGGTGTCATCCGCAGTGTTAATGTTGGTATACTGCTAAAAGCGGCGTAAAGCTAAACTCACTCACTCATCTTCCACGTACCTTCTCTCCTGGTTTGACTAACAAATTTATGTCCTGCAGCGCTAGTTGTAATCCAGGGCGGTACCTCAGGGAAAAGTTCCGGTATCGGATGACTCCCTTTATCCGGCCATGCTGAAGGGACGCTTTCAGCCCTGTCGAAGCAGTCTACCTGACAACAGGACAAACCATAAAGATCGTTTCCTTCGTATAGCAAAAACCCCGTTCGTCCGGAAACCACTTATTCCGGGCGACATTGATTAGTATGTCTGGGTGTATAGAACACCACATTACTCAGTGGTAATAGGTACATACATAGAACACCACATTACCCAGTGGTAATAGGTACATACATAGAACACCACATCACACAGTGGTAATAGGTACGTACATAGAACACCACATCACACAGTGGTAATAGGTACGTACATAGAACACCACATCACCCAGTGGTAATACGTACCTACATAGAACACCACATCATCCAGTGGTAATAGGTACGTACATAGAACACCACATCACTCAGTGGTAATAGGTACGTACATAGAACACCACATCACCCAGTGGTAATAGGTACGTACATAGAACACCACATCACACAGTGGTAATAGGTACATACATAGAACACCACAACAACCAGTGCTAATAGGTACGTACATAGAACACCACATTATTCAGTGCAAAAGGTACGTATACAGAACATCACATCACCCAGTGCTAATAGGTACGTATATAGAACACCACATTACTCAGTGCTAATAGGTACGTATATAGAACACCACATCACCCAGTGAAATAAGTACGTACACAGAACACCACATTACTAAGTGGTAATAGGTCCACTTTAATGGATCAGACTCTATTCACTACATGAATAATACCTAATTTTTCACCAACATTACACAAACCATCATATGCAGATTGAGCTGTCATTCTGCTATTTGCTATTATATTTACAACATACAGGCCTGGGAATAAGACCATAGAACCAATTAGACTGACATTGAGCATCGTATCGGTACGTGAGTGAATATCATAAGTTGTATTCTTCTCTCGAGGGTAATACGGTCCGATGTAAGCCTCTCTACCGGTTCGTGTGACACTGAGACAAAAAGACGTACATCAAACCGTATTACACGAGGGAGAAGCATACAACGTAGTTACCTCACCGCCATGTTAAATGTACAAAATATCATTTTATTTTATTTTAAAGATCGTTACCGACTATATGACATTTAAACAAAATGGACTCTGCATCTCGACTAAAAAAACAGCTAATCGAACGGTTTTCGAACTCATATTATGGCGTCATACAATTGCTAGCGATACAGCTTATCGGCGGAAGGTTTGGCGGTTACCGTGGCAGCGGTATTTTTGTCCATTTGTCACCCTCCTGGGTTGGGTGAAACGGAAACTTCTTAAAGCGTCATTGACCAATGAAATTAAAGTATTTAACATGGTGGTAAGATAAAGTTTTTTGCTGCTTTTAGCAATATTCCAGCAATATCACGGCGGGTGACACCAGACTGTTAATTGATAAGATACTTAAAAATTGATTATACACGGAAACACATAACACCTCGCTTGACTAACAGACCTCTGTTTCCATGGCAACGTATTGCATTATCTTTTCAACGGAGACACTCATGAGATCAAGTTTTGTGCTTCTAATGATAAACAACCGGAGATCATTGCTTGTCTGGAATAAGAAAAAAAGAACATATTCATAGTCTTAGCTTGACAGTATAAAACTAAAATTTTCACAAAATTTCATCTTAACTTCCCGATTTTTAATAAACTCGCGCCATGTCTATAGTTTCACAACAGCCTTGTGCTCCGTAGTTCATGACATCGCTCCATCTTTCCATAATTTCATCACATTGCTCCATCTTTCCATAATTTCATCACATCGCTCCATCTTGACAAATTTCATCACATCGCTCCATCTCTCCATAATTTCATCACATCGCTCCATCTTGACAAAATTTCATCCCATCCCATCAACAGTCTGCAGTGTCATTCAACAGCGCAACATCCCACCATGTTTCCTTTACATCTCTCCATATTTCCATTACATCTCTCAATCATTTCATCCAATCACAACACAATTTCTATCGCATCGCTTCAATGCTCAAGGATCGTAATATATCATTGCATCATATAGCATCTTTGAGTATGTTTGTGAATGCGAAATGCCACACTTTACCTAAATAAAACTCGTTATATAATAAGTCAAGTTGGACCTGAGGGTCATATAGAATAATGGACTTTAGATGAACGTTATTCTCTCACCTCATATGCAAAGGACAAAGCAAGCCCCATCACGCCACTGCTGACAGCATCCCCTTCCAGGAAGATCAACAGCGCTGTGGATGCAAGGATCACGTGGCAAGCGAAGCTAAGGCGCATGCTCAGCCATCTGCAATGAACATCGCAGTCATCAAATAGGATGGTTGGTATACGAACTCAAACCTCTGCCGTATGCACCATGTCCTGTCCGTTAACGCTAAGCAACTCGAGATAGATTACACAATGTCTGATGCATATAGCATAGTCAAAGTATAAAGATACATCATCTGCTCTGATTAATTAGGTTTTTCAAATTAAAAAAAACCCCTGCCTGCTCATTACACATACACATACGCGCACACGCACGCACGCACACACACACACACTGACCACCCGATCCCATTAGTCGCCTCTTACGACAAGCATGGGTTACTGAAGATCAATTCTAACCCGGATCTCCACGGGTCCTTCATACATGTACACCATATAAGAATGTACTACCTGTTTGATATAAAGTTGTAGTAGTTAAACTTCATGTGCGTCTCAGCCAATCGGACGAAGCGAGTTGCAAATCTCTCCTGATCATTGAAGGCCCTGATCAGCTCTACTCCCTGGGAAGTCTCGCTGAAGAAGCTCAACACACTGGATAGCGACTTCACGTAGGCTCGCTTCAGCTGACGTGACGTACTGATGAAATATCTCTAACAAACAAGATATTTCACATAATTGAATCCGAAAGACGGAAAATCTTAAATATCATTGTGTGTTTTTGGCTAATATGTGTAATACACATAACGCATGATAATTTCTGTTTATGAATATGTATTAATATACTTAATATAATTGGAACCAACGGCGGCAACGTGAAACAGATATGACGTCATTCTGGAATGAATTGACGTTCCATGTCACGTCACATGTTACCGTTATGTCCTCATTTGGTCAGCAGAGTGTGCAACAAGTTTCATTAAACGGAAGCCAGTCTCATAAACATTGAGCACAATTAAAGTTGTTTGAAATATGACTTTGATCTCTCTGCATCTCTCTCTTTGCCTCATTCTCTCTGTCTTCTCCCTCTGCCTGCCTCTGTGTCTGTCTCTCCTCTCTTTCTCTCTGTCTGTCTTCCTCTTTATCTTTCTCTCTGAGTGTCTGTTTCCTCTGTTTCTCTCCTGTCGCTCTCTCTCTCCCCTCTATCTGTCTCTCATTCCCTCTGTCTTTCTTTCTCCCTCTCTCTCTGTGTCTGTTTCCCGCCTCTCTCTCTTTCTGTCTGTCTCCCTCTCTTTCTCTCTGTCTGTTTTCTCTCTCTGTCTCCCTCTCTCTGTGTCTGTCTGTTTCCATCTCTTTCTCTCCCTCTGTCTTTCTCTCTCCCTCCCTGTCTGTCTGTTTCCCTCTCTCTTTCTTTCTGCCTCCCCTCTTTGTCTCTCTGTGTCTGTCTCTGTTTCCCTCCCTTTGTCTTTCTCTCTCTCCTCTCTGTCTGTTTCCCCATCTCTCCTTTTATCTGTCTGTCTGTTATTATCCCTCTGTCTTTCTCTCTCCCTCACTGTCTGCCTGTTTCCTCTTTCTATCTCTCCTGTCTTCTCTCTCTCACTTTCTCTCTCTGTGTCTGTCTGTTTCTCTCTCTTTCTCTCCCTCTGTCTCTGTTTCCCTCTCGGTCTCTCCTTTGTCCCCTCTCTCTAGTTCTCTCTGTGTGTCTGTTTCCCTCCCTCTGTCTTTCTCTCTTTCTCTCTCGCGTATGATATTATATTTGTATGTGGAGTCAAACGTAATTGTTGATACAGAGACACAAATAAAGGACACAATTTTAGACCTGTATAACAGGTTTGTGGAGTAAAATGCGGTAACGACAAAGTCTCAGATATGTATTCCAGGTGAAACATACATTTATACCTACCTGTACCACAATACAGCAATATATCAACGGAATGAGCAGGACCACAACTCCAGGGGCACTATAAAACACTATACACATAGAGCACAAAGTCTGAAAGCACGAATCCATCCAAATCTCAAAGGTGAAGGGGAGTTCCTTATCGATGGTATTTATGTCTTGTGAAAACCGATTAGTTATTCTTCCTAAAGGAGTTGTGTCGAAGAATTTAATTGGTGACTTCAACACCGTTTCCACCAATTTTGAATGTAGCTTTCTTGAAGCCGACACTGTAAAGTCCTTGAGAATAAGACTGTAGAAGAGGACAAGCACAGCTGCAAATGCAACAGTTTGTAATTAATAGTGAAGTAAAGATGACTTATGATTCATTTCGCAGAAAATGTTAAATGTTGATATACATCACACAATTTTGTTGATTTGTTGTTTAACGCCGCACTCAGCAATATTCCAGCTATATGGCGGCGGTCTGTAAATAATCGAGTCTGGACAAGACAATCCAGTGATCTACATCATTTTGGGGATACGATAACATGTGTCAACCAAGTCAGCAAGCCTGACCACATGATCCTATTGGTCACCGCTTACGATAAGCATGGGACAGTGACGACCAATGCCAACCCGGATCTTCACGGGGGCATCATACAAAAAAGTGTATGCTATTTTATGGAATTCAGCTTTGAATAGCATTTCATTGTGACATGTTGAATCTATTTCCAAAGTTGACGAAAATTGTGTGAGAGAGTATAACTCGCTATTTTGACTTGGACTGCAAGTCCCAGTGTCATTTTTCAGATGCACACTTCTCTCGTTTTTGATGTGTCTGTGAACATAGATTTGTACATCTCCTTTTCGTGAACACCTGAAATCATCACTATTTGAAAGTGTTTTGCCAATTGATATGTCAGAGTCGTGCAATTGAAGACTTTCTATCTATCTATCTGTCTGTCTCTCTGTGTATGTGTGTGTTCCGAGTATGTAGGTACCAGCGGTGTGTGTGCGTGCGTCGTGCGTGCGTGTGTGCGCCCGGAGTATGTAGGTACCGGCGATATGTCTCTCTCTCTCACACACTGTGTGTATGTGTGTGTGTGTGTCCAGAGTATGTAGGTGGACCATTTCAACTTATTCACGAACATGCTTTCATTTCACAATCTGGATGACACCGGTATTTGTGTGGCACTCAACACGAGCACCTTCAAGTCAAATGTTTACGTGAAAATACACAGGTGTCAAAATAGGAAACTGGAACAGCACACATCATTTTTGTCACTGATTGGTCTCCATGTTGATTGTAAATAAAGATCTACTGAAAAGAATGAACAAGTGCTGACCTTGCAGTATGCCTAGCGCAAAGTATATGGCCATGTACCAGGCGTTGGACGGCTGATGCCCCTGTGTCGGGTGTATGGTTGAGTTATGGTGTTCACCTGAGTAGTGGCTACCCGTACCCTCCGCCCAAACACTCAGCCAGATGTTGGCCAAAGTTACTGTGACGTAATACAAGAAGTAGCTCCCGCCTATCAGCAACCAATGGGTGGAACCAAAGGCGTCCAGGAACTTGGAGAATACGTTCATCCTCATCTGGAAGTAGCACTCGCCAGTGACATACATTTCACCACGGTTATCCAGGGTGTAAAAGCATATGTGATTATCAATTTAACAACTATTGAACCTTTGAAGAGTGAGTGATATCAATTATCAGTTGTAAACTTTCAAATATTTAGAATTGGGCACATGAAAGACAATTTTCACATTATTAATGTAAAACTACAGGACATCGTTTATGTGATTAGGCGATTGATCAATCGGGAGACTGTGCAGGAAAGTTTTCAGTGTGTTGTACTTGACAGTGAAGGACATGGGAGATGGGGGAGAAAAGGTGACCTGTGTGTTGTATTTGACAATGTAGGAGATGTGACAGTACATGTGTTCAATGTGTTGTATTTGACAGTGAAGGTCGAGGAAGATGGGACAGAACGGATGTTTAATGTGTTGTATTTGAAAGTGAAGGATGAGGAATATGGGACAGAACAGGTGTGCAATGTGTTTTATTTGACAAAGAAGGACGAAGAAATGGGACATAACAGGTGTTCAATGTGTTGTATTTGACAGTGAAGGACGAGGAAGATGGGACAGAACAGGTGTTCAATGTGTTGTATTTGACAGTGAAGGACGCGGAAGATGGGACAGAACGGATGTTTAATGTGTTGTATTTGACAGTGAAGGATGAGGAAGATGGGACAGAACAGGTGTTCAATGTGTTGTATTTGACAGTAAAGGATGAGGAATATGGGACAGAACAGGTGTTCAATGTGTTGTATTTGACAGTAAAGGACGAAGAAGATGGGACAGAACAGGTGTTCAATGTGTTGTATTTGAAAGTGGAGGACGAGGAAGATGGGACAGTACAGGTGTTCAATGTGTTGTATTTGACAGTGAAGGACGAAGAAGATGGGACGGAACAGGTGTTCAATAGGTTGTATTTGACAATAAAAAGGACGAGGAAGATGGGACAGTACAGGTGTTCAATGAGTTGTATTTGATAATGAAGGACGAGGAAGATGGGACAGAACGGATGTTTAATGTGTTGTATTTGACAGTGAAGGACGAGGAAGATGGGACAGAACAGGTGTTCAATGTGTTGTATTTGACACTGAAGGACGAGGAAGATGGGACAGAACGGATGTTTAATGTGTTGTATTTGACAATGAAGGACAAGGAAGATGGAACAGAGCAGGTGTTCAATGTGTTGTATTTGACAGTAAAGGACGAGGAAGATGGGACAGAACGGATGTTTAATGTGTTGTATTTGACAGGAAAGGACGAAGAAGATGGGACGGAACAGGTGTTCAATAGGTTGTATTTGACAATAAAAAGGACGAGGAAGATGGGACAGTACAGGTGTTCAATGGGTTGTATTTGATAATGAAGGACGAGGAAGATGGGACAGAACGGATGTTTAATGTGTTGTATTTGACAGTGAAGGACGAGGAAGATGGGACAGAACGGATGTTTAATGTGTTGTATTTGACAGTGAAGGACGAGGAAGATGGGACAGAACAGGTGTTCAATGTGTTGTATTTGACAGTGAAGGACGAGGAAGATGGGACAGAACGGATGTTTAATGTGTTGTATTTGACAGTGGCGGACATGGGTGATGGGACAGAAAAGGTGTTTAATGTGTTGTATTTGACACTGAAGGACGAGGAAGATGGGACAGAACGGATGTTTAATGTGTTATATTTGACAATGAAGGACAAGGAAGATGGGACAGAGAGGGTGTTCAATGTGTTGTATTTGACAGTGGCGGACATGGGTGATGGGACAGAAAAGGTGTTTAATGTGTTGTATTTTACAGCCAAGGAGGAATGAAAGATGATGAACATACGTGAGCTACTCACTCCTCCCAACCCTACGCTCTCCTCCTCGATCAGCTTGCCCAGCTCCTTCTGTTCAGAGTTAGTTTTGTTGGAAGCAAGAACACTGAAACCAATAGTATTGGATCTTTTTACTCTCTTGAATGCTACCTTTTTATGCGAATTGTTTTGACAATTGCATACATATGCCCTTTTCGCAAAAGCCTGTCGAATCAATGTCGTTGTCCATTTAAGTTTATACCAAATCGGGTCTGCATATTTCGAGTATGGTTATTCTCTGCCGTCAACATGCTAGATTTGCCTTGCCTTCGGTAAAATGTGTCCGGTTGATTGCTCTCTAATGTCTTATATGTATTTGATTTAATGCAACATGGCAAGATCAGGCAACGACATCCATGACTATTTGACAAGAAAACCCACATCATTATATTACATCAGACAGCCAAAGAACTTTGTGTAATTTACCAATGAAACATACATATTACCCTAAGTCAGTTTTTATCACATGTATTTGCTTACTTGATGTACAATGTTAAGTAAATAACTCTACTTCAGTCCTCCCCCAAAACATTATTCATTGCGTATGTAAGCAAGTGAGATGTATTTATAATTACCGCTTCTCATCTGTCGGCTTATTTTCGGTGTCCCACGATTTTGGATCTGAAATGATATATTTACTAGATGATATCCAAACGCATGAAATGAACCTCGACACAGGAATAAATTAACTAACTTCAGTTTCAAAAACCCCGTGAGATACAAAGGACAGTGTTTGATGGTACCATCGCAATTATAACCATTTCTATCATTTCTCTACAGAGAAAAAAAATATGAATCATAGTATTGTATCCCTGTATGCATATTCTCAATCAAATGGTTCGAGGGAAATACTTTTAAATACATTTTGGTAAAGAGATGCAATACTTTTCAGCCATCCCACTATCGTTAAAACCACTGAAAATAAAACGTTAACCTTACTGATTACAAGGAAGAATAACAAAGGATAACACTATTATCAAACAAGTGATGTTATAACCTATACCAAAACGTTGCTCTCACTGTAATAAAAAAGTTGATAACGTGCTTGATAACAGTGTCTGAACCTACACGGAAACGTCGCTCTCACTGTAATAAATAGATGTTCATCTATACATTGCTAGTGACTTGCTTGAAAACAGTGTCTGAACCTACACGGAAAAGTCACACTCACTGTAATAAATAGTTGTTCATCCATACATTGCTAGTGACTTGCTTGATAACAGTATCTGAACCTACACGGAAACATCGCTTTCATTGTAATAAAAAGTTGTTCATCCATACATTGCTAGTGACTTGCTTGATAACAGTGTCTGAACCTACACGGAAACGTCGCTCTCACTGTAATAAAAAGTTGTTCTTCCATACATTGCTAGTGACTTGCTTGATAACAGTGTCTGAACCTACACGGAAACGTCGCTCTCACTGTAATAAAAAAGTTGTTCATCCATTCATAGTGACTTGCTTGATAACAGTGTGAACCTACACGGAAACGTCGCTCTCACTGTAATAAATAGTTGTTCATCCATACATTGCTAGTGACTTGCTTGCTAACAGTGTCTGAACCTACACGGAAACATCGCTTTCATTGTAATAAAAAGTTGTTCATCCATACATTGCTAGTGACTTTCTTGATAACAGTCGAACCTACACGAACCGTCGCTCACGGAAACGTTGTTCATCCATTCATTGCTAGTGACTTGCTTGATAACATAAGTTCGAACCTACAGTTCGCTCTCACTGTAATAAATAGTTGTTCATCCATACATTGCTAGTGACTTGCTTGCTAACAGTGTCTGAACCTACACGGAAACGTCGCTCTCACTGTAATAAAAAAGTTGTTCATCCATACATTGCTAGTGACTTGCTTGATAACAGTGTCTGAACCTACACGGAAACGTCGCTCTCACTGTAATAAATAGTTGTTCGCATACTCTCACTTGCTTGCTAACAGTGTCTGAACCTACACGGAAACGTCGCTCTCACTGTAATAAATAGTTGTTCATGCATACATTGCTAGTGACTTGCTTGATAACAGTGTCTGAACCTACACGGAAACGTCGCTCTCACTGTAATAAATAGTTGTTCATGCATACATTGCTAGTGACTTGCTAACAGTGTCTGAACCTACACGGAAACGTCGCTCTCACTGTAATAAATAGTTGTTCATAACAGTGTCATACATTGCTAGTGACTTGCTTGATAACAGTGTCTGAACCTACACCGAAACGTCGCTCTCACTGTAATAAATAGTTGTTCATGCATACATTGCTAGTGACTTGCTTGATAACAGTGTCTAAACCTACACGGAAACGTCGCTCTCACTGTAATAAATAGTTGTTCATGCATACATTGCTAGTGACTTGCTTGATAACAGAGTCTGAACCTACACGGAAACGTCGCTCTAACTGTAATACATAGTTGTTCATGCATACATTGCTAGTGACTTTCTTGATAACAGTGTCTGAACCTACACGGAAACGTCGCTCTCACTGTAATAAATAGTTGTTCATCCATACATTGCTAGTGACTTGCTTGATAACAGTGTCTGAACCTACACGGAAACGTCGCTCTCACTGTAATACATAGTTGTTCATCCATTCATTGCTAGTGACTTGCTTGATAACAGAGTCTGAACCTACACGGAAACGTCGCTCTCACTGTAAAAGAATAGTTGTTCATCAATACATTGCTAGTGACTTTCTTGATAACAGTGTCTGTACCTACACGGAAACGTCGCTCTCACTGTAATAAATAGTTGTTCATCCATACATTGCTAGTGACTTTCTTGATAACAGTGTCTGAACCTACACGGAAACGTCGCTCTCACTGTAATAAAGAAGTCGTTCATCTATATATATTGTTATCTTTCCTTACTGATCCAACTTCTAAATGCCTCTCAAAGAGGTTAACCTGACTTTGATTCTAGTGATCGGAACTGGTTGTTTCTTACCAATATCTGCGACAGGTGAGGAGGACACCACCTGCTTCAGGACACTGTTTCTGGACATGAGTTCCTCATAGGATCCCCGCTCCTGGACACACTTGTTGCTGATGACCAGAATCGTGTCCACTCTGGACAGCACAGACACGTTGTGGGTCACCAGGACACGTGTCTGAAGCATGGCGTTGCGTTACCATGTTGATTTATATGTACATATAGAGATATACACACGTTAAGGTTCTCCAAGAACATCTTAAGCATGACATCTGGTTAACAATATGATGCTGTTTTACCAAATGTCTTGAGTTCATAAGAATAGTCTGAAGAATGATTTTGGGTTAACATCAAGATGTGTATTGATGATGAATCGGAGATCAATATATTTGTTTGATTGTTTGTGTGTTTAACGCCGCGCTCAGCAATATTCCAGCAATATTCCAGCAATATGGAGGCGGTCTGTAAATATTAACAACATCATGAGCATCGATCTACACAGATGTGATTCGACAACATGTGTCAACCAAGTCAGCGAGCCTGACAACCCGATCCCGTTAGTTGTCTTTTACGACAAACTGAAGTTGCTTGGTTGCTGAAGATTAATTCTAACCCGATTTTTCAAGGTTTATCTCTAGTGTCAGAAACAGATGTCTGAGATAGGACATGATAATGATTGCTGCTGATCAGAAGAGCTCATCTCTAATATGTGCACAATGAGGTGTGCCCTTCACATCATAATTATGATGAAGGGGTGTACCGATCCCAAAGGTACCCGTGAAGATCTTTGCTGTGCATTGTGAGTGGCACATTCCCACTTACTTTGTCACTTAGTCGTCCTTTGTTACTAATAACATTGTCAAAGATGTGTTTCCCAACATGGCTGTCCACAGCACTGAGAGGATCATCAAAGAGATAAATGTCGGCATCGTTGTAGACAGCTCTGGCTAGAGACACTCTCTGCTTCTGTCCTCCACTCAAGTTGATGCCCTGATGACAAGATACACGTAGGAAGCAATTTAAAGCATTATCATGACGTACGCGTTACTGTTCTTGCAGTTCATTCTGAGACTATTGCAAACAAACTGTTTCCATTCCATTCAATTCTCAGTTAATAATCTGACATAACGACATTTTCACGAAAAACCCAGGCCAAACCTGAAAATGAAGTTTTGTGTTGGAATAGGTTTACGCGTTTCGGAAAATAGCACATTTATTCAACATAAAATGAAAAATAAAAATGCTTTCGACATTGCCAGAATGTACCATCGTTGATGGTTGATACAGATATAATTTTGTAAATATACGGACGCTGTCTTTCAGTGAATGTGCCCACTCCATGCACATAGTGTCATGTGAATCAATCTGCATCAGTCGATTTCGGGGACCTGGACTGGACAAATAGCTGAAACGTTGAAAAGTCATGGCGGAAAAAGGCCGGGCTCGATTCATTAAAAGAGAATGAGTGAGTTGGATTTTACACCGCTTTTAGTAACATTCCAGCAATATCACGACGGGGACACCAGAAATGGTCTCCACACATTGGATCGATCAGAATCGAACCCGGGCCCTCGGCGTGACGAGCAAACGCTTTAAACATTAGGCTACCCCGCCGTCCCTCATCAAAGAACACTATTTAGAGACTAGTATCTTAGTATCCCCTCCGTGTTTGGACTGGTACTATAAAAACAGCAGGATTAATCCATAATCATTCTTTTAAAATGTCACTATGAGATGCAAATGATTGCACATGAATATTCCTTATTCTTCGTACCTTCTCTCCGATTTCTGTCTGATCCCCTCCAGGGAGTAATTCAATATCCGGTCCAAGTGCGCATGCCTCCAGAACAGCGTAATAACGTTTTTTGTCGAAGGGGGCTCCGAACAGGATGTTCTGCTGCAAGGTGTCGTTCTGAATCCAGGCTTGTTGGGGGACATACGCAATACTGCCCTACGTTATAACATTATATACTCTTATTACACAACAAATTGGGAACCGGTTATATTTCCAATTGAGAAAACAAATTAATGACCATAAAGTTGAATCAGAAAACAAACACACTGTTCTTGTAGAATATTAGGATATATTTAACAATATTATGTCTAGTATTTCCAAATCCTCAAGCCAAGAATTTCAGTATCATTTTAACGGTAATTATGGTTGAATTACACAGAGACCAGCGGAATAGATCAATAGTATTCAAAGTTTCAGTTTCCCATCAACGGCCTTCATCATACCGTATAATCACGTTGATCGAAGTCCCATCGAGCATGCTAATAACAGCTAGATAACAAATATGAAACACTATATTTGTGATAATTATTCTCATGTCATCATGACATCACATCGTCTTGAGTTGTGTATGAAATTCAAGTCAAAGGGAAACCACATACAACTCATGGCGTGAGTGAGTTTAATTGTACGCCGCTTTTAGCAATATTCCAGCATTATCAGGGCGGGGGACACCAGAAATAAGCCTCACACATTATACTAATGTGGGAATCGAATCCAGGTCTTCGATGTGACGAGCGAACGCTTTGTCCACTAAACTACCCCACCGCCCCATCAAGGCAATGTGATATCATGATCACATTAGAATACATTTCAGTAATAGTGTTTCATATCTGATATCCAGCAGTTATGAGGATCGGAAATTCCGGAATCACATTAAATGTATTACCAATAATTAAGACTACGTGCTACTTCACAGTAACTGCATGGTAACCACGGACATAAAAGACGAACCTGCACGTCTGTAGTGCCTTCAATGACGACCATTTCCCTGAGAATGGCGTTTATCAGCGACGACTTCCCCTCCCCAACCTGTCCAACAACCGCCACGAGGCCTCCTCTCGACACACACACTGAAATGCTGACGTCATCAGAAAATTAGCACATAGTCGTATTTTGACAATGTCATTTTACGGCTAGCAGGTTCTTTATTGTTATTCTTCAATTTCGTTTTAACCACAGATGCCCTATTCACTAAAACACGGAGAAAGTTGGCTTTAAAAGGCTTTAAA